ACCAAATTAACATTTTGCTTTGTATGTGATAGCTTATGATAACTTACAGGCAGGTCCAGGTACAAGTAGGCAGGCAAGTCCAGGGAAAGCAAAAACCAGAACCAGACAGTAATAGTCAATTTAAACACGACACAAGAGGAGGGAAATATAAAGTAAAACAGGAAATAACCAAAGAAAGTCAATTAGTAAGCACTTGTTGAATAGACCTTTTTCACAGCAGCCATTTTGAGATGAAATAGTAGGGTAAACACAGGTGTTACCAGTGATACTAATCGAGGTTCCATTCTATTTAGTGTAGCAGAGACTTTTCAGTGAGCCAACATGTACAATAGCAGCACCCTGACTGTTTGACTGAATGGAACAAAACCTTCATAATAAACACCTGTGTTTACCCTACAGGATGTAATGTCAAAATGTCTGCTGTGAAAAAGGTCTAGATAAACAAGACATGATAAAGTCTTATAAAGTTAACTTACTCACTTCTGCTAAAACAGACTTATTGTCGTCTGAACTAGTCGTCTGAACTAGAACTAGTGCAGCACCGTGGCTTCTTTGTTCACTTCCCCCAGTTGCATTCAATTACAGTCAGTCAATTCACTCCTGTACTTAGAGCTGTAGAGTCCACTTGTGATTGGATCACCCAAGGTGCATATTAATGGCATTAGAGCTGTGATCGGGCCCAAATAATCGGGCCCGACTTGACCTGTCTGATCCAAAGAATGAAAGCCCTAAATGGCAGGAGTAAACAGGGCTCAAATATATGACATAGGAAATTAGAGCTTTTCAATGTACGAGGGGTTAAAATCAAAACAATAGTTAGGCTCCTTGATGCTTCCACAGTGATAATATTAGTTTGTATACAATGTTTTTTTTTTTTTATGTACTGTCATATCCATCAACCTCATGTATATAAAATAATTTGCTGCATAAAACAGATTTATTTCAGCATCCTTTGCACCATTGTCTTACTGTCTCCAAATGTCATTGTTATTTATATACCATAAAACTACTTCAATTACTTAACTCAACCTGCCTATATTTTTGTAGGGGATCTAAGCAGCTTGTCAAAACGTGTAGCCACAGAAGGCTAGTAAAGGGGACCTGCCACTAATTAGGACCCTGCTTCTAAACGAGTGTTTTAAGCTATATATACATAAAAAAAAAATATTTGCAGGCTTGTCGTCCTTGTTTTGATTTTGCTGTATGTATGCCCATTACTGTGTATGTGCGAAAGCAGTAAGTAGGTAAGTAAGTAAGTAAAACTGGAGTCAAATTATGTATGTGTGCACATACCTGGCTAATGAAAGTCATTCTGATTTAAAATTTGTTTACCCATAGAAGTATTTTATATTTTATTTTCATACATTTGATGAGCAAGTAAAATAATTTGGAATGACACTTTTTGATGCCCATGACATCTTGGATTTACCTAAAGATGTATGTAAGAGGATATATGCAGAGGAGGGTAAAGGTAAATAAAACTGGTAAAATATGGGGCATTATCACATAACCTAGCTAGATTTACCTATAAATTATGCTAATCTGTCTCTATTTTGACTGCAATATAACATTAAGACCCCAGATATTGCATTGTCCCTAATGTAGGAGACATGTCCTCTTTTTGTGGAAGTCACTTTCACCAGCACATCTGTTTGTCGAACACAGTTGGCTTTCAACCTCCTCCCATCCCACAATTGTAAACTGCTTTCCGGGATTAATTGGCTGCTAATAGTTTATAGATTTTTCTTTTTCTTGTTACTGTCTCTCTCTCTCGCTCTGTTACAGTTGCGTCGTCCCCATTTGACGCACAGATATTTGGCCTTGTGGCACTTCGAACCCAATTCTCTGCCTTTTGTGAGGCTGGCTGCTTTGAAAAGACCTTCCCGGTGAAGAAAAGGAGCCCACGGCCTCATCTCGCCCCACTGACTGTGTACCTCTCTCTTTCTCTCTCTCTCTCTGCCTGTCTGTTTCTTCCTGCAGCTCCCTCTGTATCTATCAATGCAATTGGATTCTCAGTCCAATCTGATTTTTAGGCATGAATGTTGGATGAATGCTGTTGCCAAAACATCTCAATACAGACAAGTGGAGAATGTGTGTGTGAATATTTGAAAGCCCAATAATGAAGTTGATATTTTGTGCCAGTGTTCTGTAGTTTTAATGCTTAACAATTTACTTCTCCCAACAAAAAGAGGATGCCGGTTTTCACATTCGTATTTCTATATCAGAGTGTTTAGGGATAACAGCTCTCTAAAGCAGTTAGGTCTAGTGTTTTTCATATTTTGTATGTGTGTTTTAAATGTGGAAAGTTTTCAGGCTAAATAATAAAAAGTTGTCAGGATTCCATGAATATTCTGCATGTGGGGCCAAGGAGGAGCCTCCATTATATTGGGGGTGACATGACTGGCAAATATTGTATATATGTTATATAATAGTAATTGTGTTGCAGTCACTGCACATTGACATCGTCTGCATTCTGACTGCGCTCCATCTTCTCTTATTCCCCACACACACTCACACTGATCAATGATGTGTAGATAAACATAGCGCCTTTGTCTCCCCTCCATCTTTTTTGTATTCCTCTTGCTGTTTTACCTCTAAAAGCACCTGCTGTGGCTGAACAATGAGCCAAACAGCAGCAGCAGCAGCAAAGGCTGACGTACCGGCCGCGGCCACTGGGGGGCACTACACCGCCACAAAACAGAGCCCCGGTCCCCCCAGCCGGGCTCCTTTGTCTCCTATACATTAAGGAACCATCTCCATCCAAAGATAAAACCGTGTATGATTGTTTTACCCCCCTCAAAGACGGCGAGGACGGCTGCGGAATCCTTGAGAGATTTTAATTTCCTTTGACTCTGGAGATTCAGGCGTGTCAAAGGCAGTAGCAGAAATGTAAATGTAATTGCTCTGTTGCTCCATTGAAATCAAGACGTTGCTGAAATGAAGCATTTGGTGGACTTTCCACAAATATGAAAAGGGAAGGAGGAATAAAACAGAGACAAAATAGAATCATTGTCGCACACAAACTGGACATATCGATCACTTCCCCTCATTTTTTCACTCGTGGCTGAGAGATTCCCCAAAAGCGAGAGTGTGGCTTTTCAGGCTTTTGGCCTTTGAGTGGAGCTAATGTAAAGAGAACATTAAAGCATGTTTGATGTTTGTGTACATTTCATGTCCCTGCAGCTTTGAAAAAGAATGGCACAGTATCACTGATCTGTTCCTGCATTTTTCTTTCTCTCTTGTGTGTGTGTGTGTGTGTGTGTGTGTGTGTGTGTGTGTGTGTGTGTGTGTGTGTGTGTGATCCGGACACCTACAGGGAATCTTACACTATCTGACCATTATCTGCGGTTAAAAACCAGCTCCCTTATTCTTTCTGCTCAAATAATTTTAAGCCTTACTAATTGAAAATGTCAGCTTGAAAAGTCAAGGCCTGTTGCAGCGAGTTAAGAGACCAGTTGGCATTAAGAAGACCTTAAATCAGCCCTGAGGAAATTGGTTTCATTTTTCCTCTTGCTTTCATTCTTCTCTCCTCCTCTCTTTCCCTCCCTGTCTTTCTTTTTTTTGCATTTTTGTTTCAGGGAAATTCTACAGCCGGGTGGCAGCCTCCTCCCTCAAAGATTCAGACCAACATATTGGCTGGATTCTGGCTTTTCATTAGGAATGTGATCTGGTGATCGGGCTTTGTGCAGCAGTCTACCCTGTGACGTGATGATTCTCTTCTGCAACGGCCTGTGAATATTCAGCCGTTTAATATTCATATCAGACGATATTGATCGTCTGCTGGGCTTTCGGTTGGTAGTTATGGTGCCTTATGAAGGTCTAAATGCTGTTTCAAAGGTATGTTAAGAGTGGAAAAATACACTTAAAATCACATTAAAATTAGAAATTTGGGGAGAATGTGGAGGTTGAAAATTGACAAGTAGCAGCTAAATCAGCAATGGTTGTGTTTGCCGAAAACACACACGTTTTGTGCCTGTTTTTAAGTATTTTTGAGAAAAATTGAGTGGCTTTCAGAGACCATCAGTCAAAAAGGAAAGACAAAGGAGAGACAAAAAGAAAAAGTGGAATATTTTTTACTCCTTATTACCTTCCCATGTCTCCTTTCGTTTTTCATCAAGGAGGAAAAAATCTGAAATGTTATAACACTTGAACCCCCCCCCTCCCCACACTGTGTGTGCAGAGGCTTTTGTCGGCCGTTTGTGTGCTGATCACAGCGGATGATGAAGCGTGCGCGCTGTGTCAATGCATATGATTTCCACTGTCTCTCTCCCTCTCATTGTGTGTTCTCATCAGTCCCGAGGGACAAGTCATTTTCCTCTCTTCCTACTCCTCCTAATCTTCCCGTCATCATCATCATCATCATCATCGTCGTCCCTCGCTTTATTTCTGATGATTTTTTCCTCACAGAGAGCACGTTTCAGTGGGTGCTGGTGGAGGTGTTGGCCAAGGGCCGCGAAGCACACAGCACATCAATTAATGCACCATTACTAGGTGCCAGGGTGTGTGTGTGTGTGTGTGTGTGTGTGTGTGTGTGTGTGACAGAGAGAAAGAGAAAGAAGAGGTGTGTGTGTGTGTGTGTGTGTGTGTGTTTGTGTGTGTGTGTGTGTGTGTGTGTGACAGAGAGAAAGAGAAAGAAGGTTTTTGTGTGTGTGTGTGTGTGTGTGTGTGTGTGTGTGTGTGTGTGTGTGTGTGAGGCTCAAATCTAATTATTCTCTGGCTATCCTCATAGCAGGGACAGAGTCCGTTAGACAGACTGCTGGTGGCTGAGGGTTTTCATTGCTGCAATACCTCTCTCTCTTTCTTTACATATCTCTCTCTTTTTCCCCTTCTGTCTGCTCTCTCTCTCATCCTTCCCCGCATCCTGCCTCACCCCACCTTTCTCTCTCTGTCTTTCTCCTCCTCCTTCTCCTCCTCCTCCTCCTCCTTCGTCCATCCTCCCACCCACCCCCCGTCCATCTCTACCTCCGTATCCCTCTCTCTCCTCTCTATCACTCTCTCGCAGATGCCACATCACACCACACTCTCTCTCTCTCTCTCTCTCTCTCTCTCTCTCTTCCTCACTCTCTGTCTGCTCTCTCATTCGCTCCGCCGGCTTGTCGCTGGCTGTCAGTTCATTTGCCGCGGCAGAGCAACAACTGGCTTCTTTCAGCGCTGGGAGCAGAGAGGGGAAGGCGAGAACGGCGGGACGAGTGCAAGAAGAAGAAAAAAGAAGTGAAGGAGGACGAGAAGAGGAGAAAAAAGGAGATCTTTTGTTAAGCATCCTTCCCTCCCCTTCATCCCTCTCTGGCAGCAGCAGCATCAGCACCACTGCCTCCACCGCCGCTCCCGCTGCTGGATCCTCCGTCCCCTGCCGGGATCTGCCTCCTCCTTCTCCTCAGGGAGCTCTTCCTGGAACTGGGAGGGGGAGGGAGATCAGCACCTCCCAGCTTGCCGCGGACCCTCGGCAAAGGCATCAGGAGGAATGGAAGGGGAGGGTATTTTAGAAGAGGCCGTCAGGAGAGCAGAGGAGAGGCAACACCCTGGTTTACAGGAGAGCCGAGAGGAGAAGAATCAAAGAGGGTAAGAGGCCACCAGAGCGGACCTGTTGTCGCAGTTTCACCTTTATAGTTTTATTTCTCAACTCCTTCCTCCTTTGGTGGGAAAATTCCTGAAAATATTTTTGACCATTTTTCTTCTCTCTGACCAGAGGAGATTTTTTATTTTTTATTTTCTATTTTTCACATTTTTTTTTTTTTATGTTTGTCTTCTCTAGTGTGTTCTAGTGTTATCCCCTCTTTAATATTCACAGGACTTGTGGGAAAAGAAATGAGGAGGTGGGTGTCTGTGTGTGAAAAAGAGAAAAAAAATGCAGCAGAGAGGGCATTTCACTCCCATCCTCCTCATCATCTTCACTGCCTCCTTCTGACAACCTGTGGTGCTGTGTGTTCGCCATGAGTGTGTGTGTGTGTGTGTGTGTGTGTGTGAGGAAGTTTGAATGAAAGCAGAAGGAAGAGAAGATTCCCGGTGTTTGATTTTTGCCGTTGCCCCCCGCTCTCGAAGTAATCTGATGAGTCTCCGGGGGTTCTTCCACTGAACAATCAATGATGCTTGGGCTGGCCGACGTCCGTGTGTGTGTGAGTGTGTGTGTGTGTGTGTGTGTGTGTGTGTGTGTGTGTGTGTGTGTGTGAGATGATCTCTGGCTAAAGCCCTCAGGTTCTCTTTTCTCTCCCTCTCTACAGATGGCCTGGGTTGGGCTGAGGATCTGTGTGTGTGTGTGTAAGTGTGTGTTTGGCTGCGGGTGGTAAATCCCAGCTCTCTGCAGCTCGGGGGTGGTTGGACGGGTGGATGGGTGGGGGTCTTCCTGGTTTTGGCTGAGGGTATGTGTGCGTGTGTGTGTGTGTGTGTGTGTGTGTGTGTGTGTGTGTGTGTGTGTGTCTCCTGGGCTGAGTGGTCCAGGCCGGCCGGCTGAGTGGAGGATGAGATGGGAAATGGAGAAGAAGAGGCTTGGGGTGAAAAAAACCTGTGGATTAGCATCTGCTTCATCTGTCCATTCTTTGTTTTACTCTTTTTCCCCTCCTCCTCTTCTCTTTTTCCCTTTCTTTTCCTCTTCTGTCCACCCCTCCACCCTGCTCCTCGGGGCTGTTGATTATCAATTTGTCCATCCTGCTTCAGCCTCTCTGCAGAGTTGACATTTTTCATCCAGAAGAATGAATGTTTTATTGACTGATATGACAGCAGATCCACTCACTTAAATCTTTTTTTTACATGTTAAACATCTCAAAAGCATTTTCTCTCTCTCTCTCTTCTCTCTCTCTCTCTCTCTCTCTCTCTCTCTCAGTATCTCCTGCTCTAAAAAAAAATGCAGTAAATGACACCATTATTCATCAGTTCTGATGAACGCACGTCATGCAATTCTAATTTCATCGTGGAGGATGCACACACGCCGACGAGCCTATTCCTTTTACCAACCCATCCGGAGAGTAATTGTAAATATTGATTGGAGACGACAAATCAATGGAATGATTTTGGATCGGCTTAGCCAGAGCCTGCTCTTTGTATTCAGCCGGCTAGTTCAATTAGAATAGAATGGAATAAATTTGCTTGAACTTTTCATACATTATTCATGGGCCCTCGCTCTAGCATTTAAACTCATCGCTTTAATTTGAAAATAAAGAAGAGGGGGGAAATCATAATAATGATTGCTAAATTAACATTTAGGAATTCATTTAAAAGGCGTTTTAACATTTGGAATTTTTAAGGGAAATAAAGTTCATGGGCTGTCTCCGTGAATTTTACATTTTATTGAAATGTGTGTTTTGCAGCACGAGAGCAATCAGCCTGAAGGAAGCCGGAGCGCAGACTGGTGCGCTGCTGCAAAAAGCAGCACTATTTTTATATAATCAAACAAATTAGTTCCCTGCATGCATTGCACCCTCCCTCCTGTGGTATAATCCATATGTTGATTTCTCTCCTTGTGCTGCGGGGGTTGGGGTGGTGGTGGTAATGAAGTGTATGGGGCTATTGTCACACCGTGGCCTGACCTCCCTAACCCCTCATCCCCCCTGTGTGTGCAACCCCCCTCCCCTCCCCCCCAGATGTCATTATGCCCTGGTAGGGCCACACAGGAGCATCGACAGCAGCGGGGAAACCAAATGTCACCGCTGGATGAGAACTTCCAGAGGACAGGGACGGTGCTGCTAGGCCGCGGCCCAGGTAAGAGGCTCGCTGTCGAGGGGTGGGGGGGTTTGGGCTCCCCTTCTTCCCTCCCACGTTTCCAAAAGAGTCAAGTTAACCTCAGCTTTTACACACCCTTCTTTTCTTTTTTTTCTTTTTCTGTTTCTCCCCCCTTCACACACGCTGCTGGCTCGGATTGAAAATGCCACCAATTTTCTCCTTTGCAGAGGAGCCATTGATGGAGCCTTGCCTCACGCTGCAGCAAGGCGTCTTCAATCAATGCGACTGGCCCACTCTCTCTGTATGTGTATGTGTCTGTTTGCCGCCGGAGCCTGAAGGGGGGCTGCTGATGGCGGCGGCGGTGGTGATGGTGGTGGTGATGATGATGATGCGATGGCAGTGGCGCTGCCCACGTGGTTTCTGGCTTAGCTCCCCGCGTTTACTGAAAGACTCTCTTCGGTGACGGGTATTCTTGGGTGGATAATACGGATCACGTTGTTATTGCTTAAGAATACGCGTAGTCGAGGAGAGTCCTCTCTTCGCCCAACACCAGCAACACCCCCCATCCCCCGACACCCACCCACCTCACCTCACCTCACCCCTGACTACCCACCCACCCACGGAGGACTGTCAGGACTGTCTCCACCTATCCAAAAAAGAAACACCCCGCCTCTTCTTTGTCCTGTACTGCATTGCACTGTTGTTTTTTCCCTTCTGCCCACTTCCTATCTGCCGAGCCATGGTTCGAGGTCGATAGTGTCCTCACGTCTATCCCACCATGCATCCTGTCAATCTGTCTCTGTCTCCGTGGCGATGGGCAACGCAGTGTGTGTGTTTTGTTTCCGTCTGTGTGTCTGTCGGAGTTGTTGCTTCTCGATTGTTCGGTGTCGCAGAGAAAAAAAACGTGTCTTCGTCTCGTCTGACAACAACTTCTGATAACTCTCACTGCATGAGCGGTGCCTGTTCCCATAATGCAAGGCCAGCATGGCAGCCTGCACACTAACACCAACACGTATAATTACAATAGGAGGGTCAGGGTTTATTAGTGGTTTTGCAGATACGGGGTCAGTAAATGACAAATCATATGAAAGCGGCACAATTTTATTTGTAAACCAAAGATGTAAACAATACACAATGCTAATTTCAGTGCTCTGATCACCAGTGACCAGTTGACCAGTATGGCCGGATAAACCTACTACAGGGCCTTGGGGCAATAATAAGCAAGTAGACCCCCATTAACCCCCCTCTCCACTCATCCTCTGAAATGGGTGGTCATTTGATTAACCCATTAATGTCCACAGTGGAATTTTATAATTTCACTGCACTTAAATTACTAGCTGAGTCAAGCACAAATCCAGTTACATTTTTAAAATTGGTTAAATTATTATAATTTTCTTTCCCCAGGAAAGGTTAAGAATTTCAAAAATTCATAATTTTTGATTCACACATAGTCTGGACTGTTATAATATAGGTTAAAAAGAAAAATGATAATATTTTGCTTTTTCTTGGTCCATTGTTGCCATTGTGCAGAAATGTTATAATGTATTCGTATGGGATAAAATGAGTAACTCCTAATGACTAATAACTAAATATATTATGATGCAGAAATGGCTGTATTATATGATGTTTTATCAAATGCTTGGCCCCATTGAATTTGGAACAACTTCAATAATTCAATATGTGCTTTGATCCAGTGTAAATCTGATCTTTAACATGTCAAATTTATGTTTTTTATGTTTTTTTTTTTAAAAGGAAAATCAACTTATCTACCAAATAAGGCCTGGTACATATGTTCAATCAAACATTTTGATTTTGTCATGTGTTGGCATTTGTTGACAGTTTCCACAGCAGATTTTGGGTTTCAACCTCGAACAGAAAACAATACATGGGACTTTTTCTTAACATACTAAATATAGACGTTAGTCGTTAATGGGTTTTGGAACATGCAAAATGTAAACGCAAAACTAAAATTAGTGAAAGTCAAGAGACTAGATTTTGATATAGACCCTCTTCAAGACAGGGGCCTCAGGATTAGGAAATAAAGCTGGACCCACTTTGAGGGCCCTATTATCAGTTGATTTTGCACAAATTGAATGAGCACAAACCAGTTCACATACAGCTCCAGGGGCCGCTTTGTTATCAGTAATCCAGCCTTGCTGGCCAAGTACAGTTAATCATATATTCTATAAAACATCAGAAGAAAGTGAAAATACCTGAACAATCAAAAACCCCTAAATATTAACCACTAGATGTTTAGCATTTTTGCTGGATTAATGACATAAATTGACTTTGACTGAATTGATTACCTAAATCACTGTTCAAATCAATTATTGACTGACTGTTCCAGTTCTAATCATCGTCTGTGATGAAAAAGGTTCTCGACTAGTAACCCTTTTATTTTGGGTTTGTCATTTTCGGGCCTGTGCGTTAAAGAAAGGACATAAAAGATAAAGTTTTGCTTTCGTTCGTTTAGGCCCTGCTAATAGTCTAAAAGCTGTGTAAGACCTCATCATAATGAAAATATTAGTATATAGTAGTAGTATATATATAGTATAGAATATAAGTATTTTACTTTACTAATAAGTCAAATTAAGCCTGTAATATTTGATGAGGTCTGAGCAGACAGTATTTCATCTGGTTGTGCTTATAGAGTGGAACCTATTCTCCATGTAGTGCGTTTATTATGGGGCTGAGCCGAGCTGCCTCTCACATTCCCCCCCTTTATGCCCCTTTTTTATGCAAATGGTTGCTCAAATGACATTTATCGCAGTGAGGTTTACACCACATGTAATGCTGCTGCTGCCGCTGAGCCTCACACACACACACACACACACACACACACACACACACACCGAGAAAACAAAATGTCCACCACGAGCGGTCGACAGCTCAACTTATGCAACGAGGAGAGAGGCGTCTAGATAAACAATTACCCCTGGCTCAAACGCTCTATAACCACCTTTCCCGTGATGCGCCATGAATATGGATTCCCTCTCCATGTCTGATGGCACATTCTGAACCTTAACACCCATGTAAAATCCATTTAAACACCTAATAGGATCAACTTGACTCATACAGCCACGTCCTCACGCATGTCACCTCCCGTGATCATTCGCTGGAGATTTCCTCGTTGTGTCAGGGCTAGTGTAAATCACTTCTTTTACACGCCTTCCTCCTAGCTCGTATGGAATATCAAATGAGTCCCGGCTGTTTTCGAATATTCTCAGGCATTTTAAAGTTAGCCGCAGAGTCAGTCAGACACGATTGTAATTATACAAATCATCCCGGTCATTACCATTGCAGATTATTCAAATAATACAATTATATGTTTAACACTTGGCTCGGTTGATAATTACCGTTCCTTTTCTGGTGGAAACAAACAAAGCGACATGCTAAAATCTGTGTAGGAGGATGTAAAGTAGAGTGGCGTAAATAAATAAAAATCACACACACACACATCGTTTCCCTCCCCTGTATTTGAGTGTTGATTGTCGGGGACAGAGCAGAGTGGACGTCCAATCGCTGTCTGTTTTCTGTGCGTCCGTGTGTCTCTTGGTTGCTTGTTGTTACTGCTACTGCTGCAGGGCCTCTGCTGGCTGCTGCCATGTGATCCAGTCATTTTACATCATGTGAACACTTTATACTCACTTCTGCTGATACACTGTAGGCCTCTAGTGATTTATTAGCTGTAAAAACTGGCGACATTTGTCCACTAACTTAACTCCACCTTAATGAATACACTATTAATTGAATATGATTTCAAAACCAGATTCTTGTCACATTTATCGACTTCCAATGCTTAACTGATGCGATAATAACTGCTTACAAAAAGGCTCGTCAGTGACAATGATGTGGTATAAAGTGCTGTCTTAGTGTCATTCTGTGTGTGTGCCAGCCTGTATTTGGATTGTCTCTACTTGTTTTCCAAGAGCTGCCATGCCGTAAAACACATTGTTGACGCGTGACATCAAAATGCAATGGACGATTTCTTTTTGAATTTGATTTAATGAATTTAAAGCATCATTGTAACAGCTGCTGATGGCACTGGGATGTCTAAACTGCTAGTGATCTAATGTGAACGCCATCTCTGCACACGTCTATCTCTGCAGTCAAAGAGCTGTTGTGGTTGTGCACTAATGTATGCTGCTCTGTACTAATGGCATGCTGCTGCTGCTGCTGCTGCTGATGATTGTTTTAAAGCTAACCAGAGACGAACGCTGCATGCATTTCAATCATTCAACAACAGCAGTGATGATGAGAATGTCATTTTCCCCCTGTAAGTGTGCCTTATTTCTGTCAATAAAATGTGGCTGTAAACATAAATAAACCCCTCTTTTGAAATTGAAATGTGAAATGAAGCTTTAATTAACACAATATGTAGGATGTATGTGAGAAGAGGCCTTCGTTCTAGCACTCCAGGCCTGTTTTAGCTGTAAATTCGACAAGAAACATCAGATGAGATTATGAATAATGTTCGTAACGAGATTGGATTCCACAGTGGATTACTTCTTGCAGGCCTGTGGATGTTAAAGTTGGAACCCTGAATACGTCTTCCTCCGGCAGAGGACTGGTCACGGACTGCCGCCTAAACATTTTTCTGTCTCTGCTCTTTTAAAAAAAAAAAAAACATCCTGGATCTCTCTGCAGAGGCCTTATTTCCAGTCATCCCACAGACAAACCCAAAGATTAAAATAAGCACTTCCCCTTTGCTCTACCTTCTCACTGGGAGTTACAGCAGCTCAGTTAGGAGAAGAATAAATAGCCAGTCTGGGCTTTTAACTTCTGCTTTACACAGACTGAGCCTCGGGTAGAAGGGAATATTTAGCTTTAAAAATGTTATGTATGACATCAGATCAAGATCAATTTAAAATTTAAAAAAATAAAAAAATAATCCGGATTGGGAGGGTTACTTTAAAAAAGTACTAAAAGTAACACAAAGAGATTTCTTTGTTTCTTTTGTAAAATCAAATATGCAAATAAAGATAAGAGAAAATAAATTATTTGACTTTTATGTGTTTCAAGAGGCCTTCTTTATTTTAAGGGGTGTAAGACAACTTAAAAAATAAGGTAGGCCTATACCTCAGCATTGTGCTAGAAAATTAAATGAAATTGTTATTTTTCAACATATATTCCCAGAACCTTCGCTCTCTGCTAAACTGCCTTATCCTGCATTAGTAAAGTACGCAGTTAAAACAACTAAAGAGCTGATAGAACAATGAGAAGAAAACACAGACTATGTCTAAAAGAAGCCTATTCAGTCCGTATGATTGTTAAAAATTAAACAAAATACATACTACAAACAGAGAATTGTAAAGAAATATAAGGAAAAGTTAACTCTGATCAATTTTCACAAAATATAAGCTGTTCAAAATTAATCGAAATCTCTCGTTTAGCACAAACCTCCTAGAGTTATTGTGTTCATTGTACAGGTGTTCCCTTCTGTTAATGTTATGTATTGAATATAATATGAAATAAAGCATAAAATATGTCACTTAGTCGGTTTAGAAAAGAGGTCTCAACCACTAGTGTAATGGGCCTTTTCTTTGTATCCTGATTACATAACTCAATTACATGTAATTTGTTTCTTACCAAGCCTGCTTAAAAAAAACTGATCATGGATCAGCAGAACAGTTCCTTTTACTCTATGGTACACACCAATGATGGATAGGGGAACCATCATTGGTAACAAACAAATGGTCATATAATTTACTGGTAGGCCTTGTATTGACATATTTATTCGTCCTTGTTTAATGATGCAGATTCATGATGACTTGTCTCATATAGGTGCTCAGTGTCTATGGGACACCCAATGTTAGCTCACTGTCATGCCGCTGTTCAGTAAAACATTTTTACTATTATGGTATTCCATATATTTATTCCATGTATTTATTATTATATAATTATATAAATACAAGTTTTTACCATCAAAAGAAACTGTTTTACCATATGAAGAAAGTTTTTCCATGAGAAATGATAAAAAACTACTATTCCTTTAAAATGTTGCATAAATAAAGAGTTTTCCATGAGATATTATGGTGTTTTACTCTTACAGAAACTGTATTTCACCTATTTAGAGTTTACAGTATTTTGAGTCATGGTTTAACAATTATTCACCATAAAATCTACAAACATTTCTTTAGTTTTACTACGGTTTTCCTCTCACTGTAACATTGACGACTCAGTGCTTAAACGTTCTGCAGCCCATCCTACCAAAATACACACCCACAGGTGAGCTGAGTGAAGAGCTAAAATACAATTAAAAATTTCCAGGAAAACTTAAATTATTTCCAGTATATTTGGTTGTTTCAATCAATTTCTACAGATAGTCTTTAAATTGCCAGGTTTTCCATGGTGCGTGGGAATCCTGCTCCAAGAGACACAATATCCAAAATTGTAATTGTACCAAATCTGTTATGTGTGATGATAAATTACAAGTCAAAGTAAATTCAAGCAAAAATACGGAGGCTTACATTTCATGGAGGTATAGTAGTGGACAAAAAGGATCCGGAAAGATCCAACGGTATACAAGTTCATGGATCTGTATCCAGATGTGTTTATCATACAGTGTTGGGTTAGTTACTCAAAAGTTTTTATTACTCATTACACTTAAAAATAATATTATTACTTTACTTATTCCTCCCTGCCAATAGTATTTACTGCTACTCTGCACAAACTTGCCAAAATTCATATTTACAACGATTAAAATCCCGTTTTGTTTGTTAAAATCCAAGTAATGGACTTTTTCCAGCTGCTGAATTTAAACGTTTCACTCTTAGTTTCCTTCATGACTCCGAAAATGAATCCAAGGATGTGATTTGATTGTTGGATTTCAGATCAGATGAAGGCAACAACAAAAGTAAGGTTGTAAGTAATTTTTTGGGTGGTAACTCTAATATTATTTTTGAAATATATTAGTAATTAGTTACCCTACTAGTTACTGGGGAAAGTAATGTAATTACTGTATTATTACTAGTAATGCCTTACAGCCCAACACTGGTCATATTATCAATATAAAAAAAACTGTCAAAGATCCAGTCTGTAATCTTCTGCATACTGTCTGTATCTTTGACCAATATTAGTGTATCACTACCTTGAATAGAACTGTATTTATATGCATTTATGTCAGTGTAGGATGATTCTGCCACACAATCACTTAACTACATTATATGTGACTCACTAGATGGGACCTCTCCAACCCGGACCGCCAAGAAAATCAAGAGGACACCCTGAGCTTCCCAACATTGTTATTCACACCAGATAACTGATCTACTGTCGGCGGCTATTTGCATCCTCTTATCACCACACAGCAGACCACCATATTACATCCTATTTAATTTAGCCCGCAAACACCCCGAGCGTCTTGGTACATTTTATCTCTTGTAATCCTGTTAAAACCGCAGTAATTAGAATCCCAAAACCAGCCCTGCTGGACTGCAAACACACATGCCGTAGCCAAGCACAATCCACGGTTCTTCATTAGAACGCAGAATATTTTACAATATCTTCTTTTTTAATTTGACATTTGTTCTGTGTAGGCTGAAGTCCCAGTTTATCCATGAGCCAGCAATATTACATTCCGTGTGAAGTTAAGAATGAGATTTTTTGTGAATTGAAAACAAAAATCTAATAATTAATTGGGTCTTAGCCAAAATTTCAAACACATTTCTTTGTTGCGGTGTGTCGCTGACATTACGAGGGAGGGGTTTAATCCCTGAGAGGAGGCTTCACAGCTATTGGCTCACCCTGTTTTCAGGCCACTCATTACTTATTAAGCAAACTATTAAGGAAAATTGACGGTAATGATGGGAGGGATAGGACCCAGGCTCATTTGGCAGAAACGCCACAGGAAATATTCAGCTTTTGTACTAATTAATTATGCATCATCTTTACTTTGCTCTCTCTGTAGACTGAGCTGGGTGTAATGTAGCACAGCACGCTCAAGTAGGTAAAAAGGAAATGATGCTCATAACTGACAAATATAAAGAAATATACCGTATGCACAATTTTGATATGAAATGTTTAGTCTTGCAAGATAAATATCAAAAGTTCGGGGTCACCTGCCACAAAAGCTTAATTCAGTACAGTCATATGTTTTAGAAGACTATTGTAGATTTTTTAATGGTCTTTCATGCATGTACAAAGTCATCTTTACAAACAGATTGTACAGTGGTTCAACCAGACTGACAACTGAAAGAGCAGGAAGATCCTCTAAGCAACAGTTCAATAAGAATATAAGATATCAGCAGTCATTGAAAGAAACTGTTAGCTTAGCATCAACCTTGGTGCAGATTCATATAGAGTAACAGGTCCCTGTTTCAGTGTCAAGTGCACATTAATGTCTCTAACAAGCTGGAATTAACGGGCGTGTTGCTTTAGCAAAGCTATTCTTATAACTTCCAAATAGAAACATTAGCTTGGTGTAGGGTAGCACTGTTGTTTATTAGCTGAATGTACTATGGACTAAATGATCACATTTTAAACCTCTTCAATCTATTTCAAATGTAGATAATACATTTGGAGTATGAGTTATAATCTCTGTTCACACAGACAACGTTACATACTTACTGGCCAACTGTTTATTAAATTACATTATTTTTTTAATTAAAACTATAATAGGGTTATACATTTAACAATATAAATTCATGTTCAGATGTCTTTAGATTCATTTAGCCTTTTCAGTTGTTGTCTTTTTGGCCTTCTTGTCTTCAGAATGTGCTGGCCTCTTTTGTCACAGAATGCACTACGACAATCGTTGTCGACAAATCTTACAGGATAAATCTGATAATATTCTATATTTTTCATCTTGGCAACAAACCCCATCTGCAGAGCAATGCCAACAATGAGTGTGTCCTACAAACAAGCCTTTTCTTTCTCTCTGCTGTAGAGCTCCATTGTTGTCCAAAACTGGTAAAACACTGTTGCACTGGGTGACATGTTCCTTCATTACCATGAACACACACACACTGTAGTTTATTTTGACTCAGTCCCACATACACTGTTCTGCTGCCAGAAATACCCACTAGAGCACAAAATGAGGATTAATCCGCTGCTGAAAGTAAATGCAATATTTCTCTTACAGTGACCAGCTGGTTTTAAGAAATTCTGAACCTTAAAAAACAACTATTAATGTGATTTTTGAAAATGTACATCTTCAGTAGGAACTAATGGCCACATAGAGCCATAAACAAATCCTGTCTTGAAATTGTTTATATATTACTAATTTACAACAGCACTTTGTTTATAATTATAAAATGTGCACATGGTTCAGTATGCAGCTTGTACAGTGTGATGTAGAAACTTGAAGTCACCAGTGCACATACACTGAGAATGGACTTTACAGTGAAGTA